ACCCACCTCGGAAAGATGGAAGACTGAGTCAACCTTGAGCCTGGTGGGATTTCAACCACCAAATTGCAGGCAGCTGGCAGTCAACAGAAGTAGCCTGCAGTACTGCACTCTAAACACTGTGCTATCGCGGCCCATCAGATACAGCTTGTCACATCTTTTGCAGTTGGAATCTATGGGTGCAGTTATCCATGATTAAGCACAGCATTATTGAGTCTTTATTTATAGGTTGTCTATTGAATGGATTTTTCTCAACGGGTTTACATAAGGGTTTAGTAAATATATCCATAAAGTCTTCCTAAAACTGAATTGTTGTACATTGCTTGCAAATCCATGTGACTCCAGCTGCCATTTGCAATGCCTTTTAGAATAGAACAGAATAGAATAGAATAGAACAGAACAGAACAGAACAGAACAGAATTCTTTATTGGCCAAGTGTGATTGGACACACAAAGAATTTGTCTTTAGTGCATATAGAATAAATTGAATAAATTATTACTGTTATTATTACTATTGCACCACTAGTAATAGTGGTAGCAGTACACTGATATAGTACGCCGTTTACATTGTGTCTCTCAGTTAATACAGTGGTCAGGGTGTGTTACTTAATGGACAAGGGTCTGACTTCTGCAACTTTTAAACACAATAAGGAAACACTTGATATAACTGTAAAGTAGAAGAGAATACCTGTAATTCAGTGTTAGTTTCATAGTCCTTAGTGCTTTCATTATGATGTTATCTAGTGGTGTAATGAAATGTGTGCAAGGAAACAACCAAGCTCAGAGAGCAACGAAGACTCCACAGAACAATAAAAACAAGTCATATGCATGTTTAAAGGCAAAATAAATAGCTTTTTAAAAATCCTCTTTAGTCTAGCACCTTACAAGAGCAATTTTAGGGCTTTATAGAGTTTCATAAAAAATACAGCCCCTGTTTAAATAGAAACAATAGACCAAACCTGATAGTACCACACGATCTTAAACTTTTACAAACAATTATTTGCCTGTAGCAATGGAATACAAGCTGGCAACACTTTTCTGAACCCACATGTGGTTTCTTTGGGCGGTAAGCTGATGGTTAGAAAATGACTGCATTTTATTCATTAGAATATTATTGCTTGCATCTCAAACTCATTAAAAGGGGATTAAGTTCTAAGCAGTGTCAAGGTTTTAGTCTCCCAGAGATAAATTATTATTTTTTTCTTATCTGCCCATTTTGGCCCACAGAATCGGTAGGCGTTTTTCTCGTACTCTTTCGACTTCTTATATGCAAACAAATGTCTTCTGAGAATTAGTAATAGAGGCAACTAAGCTGCTGGCTTATACAAGAAAGTCTGTGAAGCGGTTCCAAATTTTTTGGGTTTTTCCATGGAGCCAAATGGTTTTTTTTAGGAATTCAGGTATTTAACATAGATACACATCCTACTTTTTAGCTGTTGTATTCATTAATGTACAAAAGAGTATAATTATAATAATATACAAGTTAATGTACTCTAGTCTGATTAAATAAATCCAAAGCTTACTTATATATAGCCTTATCCTGGGACTGAAGAGCATAAAAGCCCCCTGTCATACTTGACCATACATTTGACCAGCATAGGACAACAGAAGCATTATGAAACATTTGGCAAGTCACAGTACATTCCAGGAGTGTTGTGCATAGCACCAAGGAGACCTTCAAGCAAACTTCCATAAATGTGTATCCAAACAGCAAGTCCATTTAGAGCTGTTTTTAGTACTGTAACACTAGATGAAAGTAAGGATAGGTGCCTCAAAAGAAGTTAGCAGTACAATTGCCTACTTATTCTAGTTTTATGTCAAACGTGTGTCCTGACAAAAAAAAATAGCAAGGCGGCGTACAAACACTGTAAGGCATTCAGATTAAATCAGCCCTCTGAATTTTATAACACTACGTGTTTCTTTTGAGTAAGTTGAAACATGCTGAAATTGTTTTGAANGAGGCCTAGTCTGTGCGATCTAATCGGTCTGGTGGAGGTAATTGGCAGCAGGCGGTCTCTCAAGTACCCAGGTCCAATACCATGAAGGGCTTTATGAAGAGTGAATATGTTGGAAGGAAGGGGGAAAAACATGATGAGTTATAACATCGTTTCTTATTTTTATTTTTAATTTCAGCATAAACTGTAAAAATAAAAATTAGGACAAAGAACTTTTTGTGTTGTTCCTGAATTATTCTGCATTTAGTTTCAATAGATTGTCCTGAATCCAATATTTGCAAAGAGAAAAACATTTTCCTTTCAGTTTACACTATATGTTTCTATATTATCCTCAAGGAACAAGATGTTACATGAATATCTATGTGGTAGAAATAATGTCACTTACAAGGATACATAAATAAAATACAGATGAATTACTATTTAAAATCTACTATAAAATATAAAAAGGGATGTGGTGGCTCAATGGCTAAGACGCTGAACTTGTCAATCACAAAGGTCAACAGTTTGGCGGTTCGATTCCCTAGTGCCGCGTAATGGAGTGAACTCCCGTTACTTGCCCCAGCTTCTGCCAAACTAGCAGTTTGAAAGCATGTAAAAATGCAAGTAAAAAAAATGGAAACCATCTTTGGTGGAAAGGTAATAGCGTTCCGTGCGCCTTCGGTGTTTAGACATGTGGCCACATGACCATGGAGACCTCTTTGGACAATGCTGGCTTTTGGGTTTTGAAACGGAGATGAGCACCGCCCCCTAGAGTCAGGAACAACTAGCACATATGTGTGAGGGGAACCTTTGCCTTTACTTGTAGAATGTGTGGCAACTTACTCTTTAATTTTTTTTTTTTACCAATATTTATCATAGATATTTTCTGCTTTTCTTTCTTATTCTTTTGCAGTGATTTCAAGCACAAATAATTGTTAATACCTTATCATTAAATAATGCCAAACTTCACTTTATCAACTCAGGATAAACCAGAACAAGGTTTAAAATGTATCCGTTTCTATGATACCTGATGAATATGTATTTTCTTCTTCTTTTATAATACATTCAGGCCACCAGTAGAAGATTGTCAAACCCTTTTGACCCCTGTAGTAAGCTGTGGGCCTCCAGGAGCATTACTAACTCGGCCTGTCATTCTAACAATGCACCACTGCGCAGAACCGAACACCGAAGACTGGAAAATTCAGCTGAAGAACCAAGCAGCCCAGGGACAGTGGGAGGTGAGGTTCTTGCCCTTCGTCTGCATGGTTCACATTGTCTGATCAAATAGCCATTAAAATATATTTTCCTGAAATGCATGTATCATTGCCAGTTTTTAATCATTTCATTCAGATTCCTCAACTGAGTGTTGGGACTGCGATGTCCATGGTGTGTTTCCAGTTGTAATGCTTGCATCTTGGCAGGATATGATATTAAGGGAAGAGTTTTCATTCCGAAGAATAGTAGATAGTATATTGTGTTATTCCCGATACCCTGTTTCCGTGAAAATAAGACTTCCCTGGATAATAAGCCCAATTGGGCTTTTGAGCGCATGCGCTAAAATAAGCCCTCCCCTGAAAATAAACCCTCCCTGAAAATATTACAACACAGCAGCAGCTATGAGGTGACCACGCTGCTCCGGAGCTTGTCGGGTGTGAGTCNACACTGTAAGGCATTCAGATTAAATCAGCCCTCTGAATTTTATAACACTACGTGTTTCTTTTGAGTAAGTTGAAACATGCTGAAATTGTTTTGAAGGAAGGAAGGAAGGAAGGAAGGAAGGAAGGAAGGAAGGAAGGAAGGAAGGAAGGAAGGAAGGAAGGAATAAAATAAAGTAAAGTAAAATAAAATAAAAAGTACTATTATTGTTGCTATGTTGGTTGCATAGTCAGCCAGATGTTCAGTGGATTTGGCATTTTAATCGAGCCTGACACTACCGAGTCCTTCCCAAGGACCTGGATAGGCAAATACAGTATTGGTGATGTAAAGATATTGTCTCAGAATACAAGCTATTCCAAGTAAAATTACTTATTATTACATAACTAGTGTTGATAACCTGGTGTTGCCCGGGTATTTATTTATAGGAGTTAAATGTCTGGCCTAAACCTAATTTCTAATGTTGGATTTTCCCCCTTACCAGAGGGAGCCCCCTTGTGGAGTACTGTGAAGCCGTTACCATGGCAACTGCACTACACTCTACAGTAGAAGCCATTTTAAGGCACAACAGGCTGTATTGTATACACCCTGAGGGGTGTTAAGAGTATCTTACCCCCACAGTATTGTTTCCAGAGAGTAAGTCATTTATGTACCAAGTTTGGTTGAAATTGCTCGAGGCGTTCCAGAGTTATGCTGGAACACACATACAAACACACACACACACACACACACACACACAGAGAGAGAGATCCATTTTTAATATATAGATTATTAGTAGTGTTACCTGGTGATGGTTCAAACAGCACTTGAATCTAATTCTTCCTACATGTAATCCAATTCATGAACCAAGAAAAAGCTTTATTCTTTCTGTGATCCATTCCCTTATTCACTCAGAAAAAATCCCTAATGTCAAATTTTCCAAGTTTAGGGAAACCAAAAGCAAGGAAAACCTTAAAATGTTCATTCCATTGCTTGTAACATGAAACTAGAAATACTGTCTATCCATATCCATCTTCCTTTCAAGCTTGTATTGAATTGCTTTGAAACGTTGAGTAGGATTACTATATAAGAATGATCACAGTGTTGTTAAATCTCCCTGTTTAAGTGAATCTTAATTATGCTCAACAGTATATAGTCTGTATGAGGAATATATCACTGAACTACCATAAGGAGATACAGCGAATTTTCATTCTGACAACTCAGGAATATAATTTGGGTGTAATTAACATTGATAGCAATAAAATTATTGATTTTTAGGCATCTTCACAAGATAATTAAGGTGTTCTTGGAATAAATTAAAACTGACTGGCAGAGTGTAATTCTAAAAGTTTTCTAATTACCCCTCCCCCCCATTTAAATGCAAACACCATTTTGATTTTAAGAATTGTCAGGTTAGTTGGGGACAACAGCCTTCTCAGCTATGCTAAACAGTTTGTGAGCATGATCATCATAATGATCTTGTATGTTGAAGAAAAGACATATTTTCCTTTCTTTTATGTGTGTAGTGTACATGCATACATGGGAGGTGAGGCACCCCGTGGATGTGATTTGTAAAATCCAATTAGTGAATTAACAGGACTGCATGTGGAGATACTCACATAGATAAGTAAAGTCTGAAAGTCCTTGAAATGGTTACATTTTCCAGGACCAAAGATAAGTTTGGTTCCAGGAGTTGTGACAGGTGTTACATGTATGACCTAAAGTCCCTTTTTACCTTCATTTATGAAGTGCAGAACCTCTAATTATGGTTTTAGTAGGAAGTCTTCTTCTGCTTTGGATTATTATTGGAAATTGTACAGAAATATATATATATACACATATATACATATGCACACACACACACATACTGCTTCCTTTCTCTGTCTATCGGCTCATCACAGGAGACCATCCAGACAGAAAGCCAATATTTTTACTGTTGCCTTTGTTACATTTGTGTTGTATTTGAGCTGATTTATTTATTTATCAGCTCAAATACAACACACACACACACACATATGTGTGTGTGTGTGTGTGTGTGTGTTAGTGAATATTCAAATAGAAATTACGTTAATTTTGATTTATGGGATCAATTTGCAAAATCATTGTAAGTATACCGTACAAGTCATCCTATCAGGTGTTTCTTGTTTGAATCAGAATAGGACTGTATATAGNTGAGGGTAGGAGTTGAAACAATTTATGTGCAGGAGGTGAAGGGTAAAATGTGGAGCCAGATTGTTGAAGGTAATGTGCTGACAATGTAAACAGATTAGAGAGGGCTGTAAAGCAGTATATAAGTCTAAGTGCTATTGTTGTTGTTGTTGTTGTTACTACTACTACTACCACAGCATTGCTTTAATATTTACTGAGTGGTGTGGTGGCCTAGAGGTGCAGCTCTCGCCTCACAATCAGGACGCTGTGGGATTGATCTTAGGTAGAGACAGATATCTCTCTCTGGGCACAATGAGAATATATCTGCTGAATAAAATTCCACATTGGTGATAGGAAGGGCATCCGGCCAGTAAACACTTCTCTCCATTCTGTTGCCCAGACTCCACCCCACAAGGGATTATGGAGTTATGGTCTCTTTATTAAAAAGAAACGATGATTGCTTTAATATTTACTTCTGGACTTTACCGTTATTTTCTTGCAAATGCCCACCAATCTGTTTTATAACAAAAGATGGGCATGAGTAAGAAAAAAAATGCAGATTAAAATGTAACAATGACCTTTTCATCATCATTCCCCTCACATTATAAGCTAATTCTTTTCCCAGAATGCCTTATTCTTTTGTTTACCTGCAGGGTAATCTGGATTCCATGATATTTGCATTATTAAAAGGCCATAAGGTGCTCAAAAATTTAATTGCTGGTTCATGTATTTTTGATGCAAAGTGCCAGCTCTCCAGAGGAACAAAACATATAAATGCCTCTTTGTAAATACTTTATAATGATAAAAGAACCTCCAGGGTTGTTAATGCAATGCCTGCTGTTGTATTGCTTAGTTAGATAACTTTTTCTGCAGTGTTTCCACTGAGAATTTGCAACATAAGTGATCCAACATTGGTGCTTTCTGTATTCCTACCCACAATCTTATCCATTCATGTGAATTCAACTAATTCACAGCAGGGTTTCCACACCCAGAGATAGCAATAGTACTTAGACTTATACACCACTTTATAATGCTTTACAGTCAGTGGTGGGTTTCAAAATATTTTAGAACCTCTCTGTAGGTGTGGCCTGCTTTGTGGGAGTGGCTTTTTGGCCATGTGACTGGGTGGGCGTGGACAATTTGTGAAATGTGGTGAAACTCACTTAACAACGCTCTTGCTTAGCAACTAAAATGTTCGCTCAGAAACTCTGGCATTTGAAGCACGCAAGTCTTAAAGCTGTCAAGTTACAAGACCCTTGCACCCCTAACCCTTTAGAAAAAAAAACCCAGGGGTGTTCAAACTCGACAGCTTTAAGACTTGTGGACTTCAACTCCTAGAATTCCTCCTCTCGCTCTTCATCTTGATGATCTGCAGACAGGCGGGGGGAGGGAGCTGGAACCGGTTCTAAATGGCAGTGTAGATTTGTTAGAACTGGCGGGAACCTACCCCTGTTTACAGTCCTCTCTAAGTGGTTTACAGAGTCAGCATATTGCCCACCAACAATCTGGATCCTCATTTTACTCACTTCAGAAGGATGGAAGGCTGAGTCAACCTTGAGCCTGGTGAGATTCAATATGTCAAATTGCAGGCAGCTGGCAGTCAACAGAAGTAGCCTGCAGTACTGCACTCTAAACACTGTGCTATCGCGGCCCATCAGATACAGCTTGTCACATCTTTTGCAGTTGGAATCTATGGGTGCAGTTATCCATGATTAAGCACAGCATTATTGAGTCTTTATTTATAGGTTGTCTATTGAATGGATTTTTCTCAACGGGTTTACATAAGGGTTTAGTAAATATATCCATAAAGTCTTCCTAAAACTGAATTGTTGTACATTGCTTGCAAATCCATGTGACTCCAGCTGCCATTTGCAATGCCTTTTAGAATAGAACAGAATAGAATAGAATAGAACAGAACAGAACAGAACAGAACAGAATTCTTTATTGGCCAAGTGTGATTGGACACACAAAGAATTTGTCTTTAGTGCATATAGAATAAATTGAATAAATTATTACTGTTATTATTACTATTGCACCACTAGTAATAGTGGTAGCAGTACACTGATATAGTACGCCGTTTACATTGTGTCTCTCAGTTAATACAGTGGTCAGGGTGTGTTACTTAATGGACAAGGGTCTGACTTCTGCAACTTTTAAACACAATAAGGAAACACTTGATATAACTGTAAAGTAGAAGAGAATACCTGTAATTCAGTGTTAGTTTCATAGTCCTTAGTGCTTTCATTATGATGTTATCTAGTGGTGTAATGAAATGTGTGCAAGGAAACAACCAAGCTCAGAGAGCAACGAAGACTCCACAGAACAATAAAAACAAGTCATATGCATGTTTAAAGGCAAAATAAATAGCTTTTTAAAAATCCTCTTTAGTCTAGCACCTTACAAGAGCAATTTTAGGGCTTTATAGAGTTTCATAAAAAATACAGCCCCTGTTTAAATAGAAACAATAGACCAAACCTGATAGTACCACACGATCTTAAACTTTTACAAACAATTATTTGCCTGTAGCAATGGAATACAAGCTGGCAACACTTTTCTGAACCCACATGTGGTTTCTTTGGGCGGTAAGCTGATGGTTAGAAAATGACTGCATTTTATTCATTAGAATATTATTGCTTGCATCTCAAACTCATTAAAAGGGGATTAAGTTCTAAGCAGTGTCAAGGTTTTAGTCTCCCAGAGATAAATTATTATTTTTTTCTTATCTGCCCATTTTGGCCCACAGAATCGGTAGGCGTTTTTCTCGTACTCTTTCGACTTCTTATATGCAAACAAATGTCTTCTGAGAATTAGTAATAGAGGCAACTAAGCTGCTGGCTTATACAAGAAAGTCTGTGAAGCGGTTCCAAATTTTTTGGGTTTTTCCATGGAGCCAAATGGTTTTTTTTAGGAATTCAGGTATTTAACATAGATACACATCCTACTTTTTAGCTGTTGTATTCATTAATGTACAAAAGAGTATAATTATAATAATATACAAGTTAATGTACTCTAGTCTGATTAAATAAATCCAAAGCTTACTTATATATAGCCTTATCCTGGGACTGAAGAGCATAAAAGCCCCCTGTCATACTTGACCATACATTTGACCAGCATAGGACAACAGAAGCATTATGAAACATTTGGCAAGTCACAGTACATTCCAGGAGTGTTGTGCATAGCACCAAGGAGACCTTCAAGCAAACTTCCATAAATGTGTATCCAAACAGCAAGTCCATTTAGAGCTGTTTTTAGTACTGTAACACTAGATGAAAGTAAGGATAGGTGCCTCAAAAGAAGTTAGCAGTACAATTGCCTACTTATTCTAGTTTTATGTCAAACGTGTGTCCTGACAAAAAAAAATAGCAAGGCGGCGTACAAACACTGTAAGGCATTCAGATTAAATCAGCCCTCTGAATTTTATAACACTACGTGTTTCTTTTGAGTAAGTTGAAACATGCTGAAATTGTTTTGAACTTTAGAAGGAAGGAAGGAAGGAAGGAAGGAAGGAAGGAAGGAAGGAAGGAAGGAAGGAAGGAAGGAATAAAATAAAGTAAAGTAAAATAAAATAAAAAGTACTATTATTGTTGCTATGTTGGTTGCATAGTCAGCCAGATGTTCAGTGGATTTGGCATTTTAATCGAGCCTGACACTACCGAGTCCTTCCCAAGGACCTGGATAGGCAAATACAGTATTGGTGATGTAAAGATATTGTCTCAGAATACAAGCTATTCCAAGTAAAATTACTTATTATTACATAACTAGTGTTGATAACCTGGTGTTGCCCGGGTATTTATTTATAGGAGTTAAATGTCTGGCCTAAACCTAATTTCTAATGTTGGATTTTCCCCCTTACCAGAGGGAGCCCCCTTGTGGAGTACTGTGAAGCCGTTACCATGGCAACTGCACTACACTCTACAGTAGAAGCCATTTTAAGGCACAACAGGCTGTATTGTATACACCCTGAGGGGTGTTAAGAGTATCTTACCCCCACAGTATTGTTTCCAGAGAGTAAGTCATTTATGTACCAAGTTTGGTTGAAATTGCTCGAGGCGTTCCAGAGTTATGCTGGAACACACATACAAACACACACACACACACACACACACACACAGAGAGAGAGATCCATTTTTAATATATAGATTATTAGTAGTGTTACCTGGTGATGGTTCAAACAGCACTTGAATCTAATTCTTCCTACATGTAATCCAATTCATGAACCAAGAAAAAGCTTTATTCTTTCTGTGATCCATTCCCTTATTCACTCAGAAAAAATCCCTAATGTCAAATTTTCCAAGTTTAGGGAAACCAAAAGCAAGGAAAACCTTAAAATGTTCATTCCATTGCTTGTAACATGAAACTAGAAATACTGTCTATCCATATCCATCTTCCTTTCAAGCTTGTATTGAATTGCTTTGAAACGTTGAGTAGGATTACTATATAAGAATGATCACAGTGTTGTTAAATCTCCCTGTTTAAGTGAATCTTAATTATGCTCAACAGTATATAGTCTGTATGAGGAATATATCACTGAACTACCATAAGGAGATACAGCGAATTTTCATTCTGACAACTCAGGAATATAATTTGGGTGTAATTAACATTGATAGCAATAAAATTATTGATTTTTAGGCATCTTCACAAGATAATTAAGGTGTTCTTGGAATAAATTAAAACTGACTGGCAGAGTGTAATTCTAAAAGTTTTCTAATTACCCCTCCCCCCCATTTAAATGCAAACACCATTTTGATTTTAAGAATTGTCAGGTTAGTTGGGGACAACAGCCTTCTCAGCTATGCTAAACAGTTTGTGAGCATGATCATCATAATGATCTTGTATGTTGAAGAAAAGACATATTTTCCTTTCTTTTATGTGTGTAGTGTACATGCATACATGGGAGGTGAGGCACCCCGTGGATGTGATTTGTAAAATCCAATTAGTGAATTAACAGGACTGCATGTGGAGATACTCACATAGATAAGTAAAGTCTGAAAGTCCTTGAAATGGTTACATTTTCCAGGACCAAAGATAAGTTTGGTTCCAGGAGTTGTGACAGGTGTTACATGTATGACCTAAAGTCCCTTTTTACCTTCATTTATGAAGTGCAGAACCTCTAATTATGGTTTTAGTAGGAAGTCTTCTTCTGCTTTGGATTATTATTGGAAATTGTACAGAAATATATATATATACACATATATACATATGCACACACACACACATACTGCTTCCTTTCTCTGTCTATCGGCTCATCACAGGAGACCATCCAGACAGAAAGCCAATATTTTTACTGTTGCCTTTGTTACATTTGTGTTGTATTTGAGCTGATTTATTTATTTATCAGCTCAAATACAACACACACACACACACATATGTGTGTGTGTGTGTGTGTGTGTGTTAGTGAATATTCAAATAGAAATTACGTTAATTTTGATTTATGGGATCAATTTGCAAAATCATTGTAAGTATACCGTACAAGTCATCCTATCAGGTGTTTCTTGTTTGAATCAGAATAGGACTGTATATAGTCCTTACCTTATCTTGTTGACCAGATTCTAGCTGTGTCCTACAATCGGTTTGAATAAGAGATATCTTCCTTGCAATAATCAAGGAAGTTTTTCTTGGTGCAAAATGTTTTCCCTGTGCTCAGGGATCAGCAACCTACAGCTCTGGAGCCGCATGTGGCTATTTTAACCCTCACCAGTTGGTGCCACAATTTTGAGAGCAGCTTCCGGGGGGGGGGAGCATGGCATGCCAGGAGAAGTATCTATTGTGAGGGGTGGGTTTTCTGGTCGGCTTCCCAATTGATATGGCTTTCGGTTAGGACAGGTAGAGGAAAAGGAATGCTGCGCTAGGTGGAGACTCTATGGTAGGGAAACCAGACTTGCAGTTGGCTCCAGAATTGAATGGGAGGGGACTTCTGGTTAGGACCTTTGTGGCGCTTTGAATGTTTAAAGTTGCCGACTCCTGCCTGTTCTGATCCATCCATAACCTATTTAGGGGTCATTATGAGGATATAATGCTTCAGTGTACAGAACAGAAAACTAAATTTAGAGAAATGAGACCTGGGTTCAAATCTGCTTTCATCTATAAAACATAGTACCATAACTAATAACATTGTTTCAGAGATACAATTGGTGAGAATTTCTGGTGGCTATTTCAGTGATACAGCTGATGTGCTTTTTTCTGCTGTAGCCCTTAGAGAACCTCTCCTCAGAGATTAGAATGGCTCCAACCCCGTTGACATTTTGCAAAGCTTTAAAAAGTCATCTATGTAGCTGGGCTTGAAGATCCAAATGTATTTAGGATCCCCTTACTTGGTTTTGCTATCCATTGATTTATCATCACGGCTGTTGTTTGTGCGAATTTTTTTCTGAATATTTTTATTGTTTTAATATTTTTTTAAAAAATTGTTTTAGAATTGTAAGGCATCCAAAGTCATTTGGCTATAATTGGCGTGCTAGAAGAATGAATGAATGAATGAATGAATGAATGAATGAATGAATGAATGACCAATTTATGTGATCTTAAGCTTCACAAAATGGAGTGTGGTGCACAACTTTGTTTTAATTTATATGTTATCAATGACTTTTTTAATAGCGTGCTAAATGTACTCTGTCTTTCTTCCAATTCTCAGGAAGTGCTGCAGTTGGAGAGGCAAATGGGTGGACAATTATTGGAGGATCCAAAGGCTTTACATTTTAAGGGTAGCACTCATAATCTTCGCTTATCTATTCACGATATTACTCATTCCCTATGGAAGAGTAAACTACTAGCAAAATACCAGGTAAGAATTGCCAAATTCTATGAGAATTCATCAGCCCTCTTGCAATATTAAGCACCATCCAGTGTTTCAAAGTCAAATGGGAATACAGGATTTCTGAAATTGCTGAATACTTGAGAAGGATAAAAGAATGTTTAACACCTGCTGCTGCATTGTTTGGTTAAATGATTCTATTTGCATTGCTGGTATGTGTATTGGGGTTTGTACTTTTAAATGCTCATAAAGGATCTTGATAAGGAGTGCACAGTGAGCAGACCAAGTTTGCTGAAAACATCAACCAGATAGCAATGGGATCTCTTTAAACTGGATGAAGGGTCAACCTAATAACAGATCTGTTTCATTTAAGTAAGTGTAAACCAATGCATAATGAGGCAAAACTATCACTAACCTCACATGCACACTAAGGGGTTGTGAGCTGTATGTGAAAAGGAACTAGTGGGTTAATAGACTGTATGACTGAGCCATGTATAATTAACCTGCGGATGTCATTACCACAAGACATGATGATAGCCACTAACCTAGGTACTTTAAAAAAAATGAATAGGGAAAAGCAATAGAAGAGAGATCTGCCAAATACGATTAGTCTTGATGGCTCACTATTATCTGTTGTTGTTTGAGAGTACTTCAGATGCAGCCTCCTACTTGCTTTCCCTGAAAATAAGACAGGGTCTTATTTTCTTTTGACCCCCGAAATAAGCACTTGACCTTATTTTCGTGGAGGTCTTATTATTATGAGGTGCAGGAGGCGGCGAGCATGGTCTCCTCATGGCTGCTGTTGTGTTGCAATATTTTCAGGGGAGGGCTTATATTAGCACATGCGCTCAAAATCCCAATTGGGCTTATTATCCAGGGAGGTCTTATTTTCAAGGAAACAGAGTATATGCAAGTATCCCAAAGTATAGTCAGCTAATAAGAAGCAAAATATCTCTTGGCCTAGTTCAACAGAACTATTCTTATGTGTTGTCCTCATAATAATTATTGAAGGGTGTACCATCAGCTTTCTACAGATCTTGAGCATGACCTTTAGGTGAGAGAGCCAGTCTAGTGAATGGTTAGAATGCTGGCCTATAAACTGGAAGACTGGGAGTTTTAGTCCCACTTTAGGCATAAAAGCCAGATGGAATTTACGTAAAAATGAGTCATGGGAATTTAATAAGTATCAGTTACATAAATCATTAAATTTGGCATTAAATTTAATCTAAGTTAGAAACTTTTTTCTTGATTTAGATTCTCAGATACTATTTGAAATAATTGGAGTTTCTTTTCCCAGAATCCCTAGGCTATGGTTAAAATTCTGGAGCACATTTGTCTGGAGAACAAACATGTTAAATATATACTTAATTATGCATTTTGTTACTTTTGTTACTATGGAACTATTACTCTTTTATTTATTTCCATTCTACTCTTAACTATATTTCATCAATTATTACATTAACCTGGATGAGATTTACATCCAACATAGATTTTGACTAAGTGAAAAATCAGAAATTCATTTTTATGATCAGTGTTATTTCTTCTTCAGGAAATTCCATTTTACCATATCTGGAGTGGATGTCAAAGAAATTTGCATTGTACCTTCACCCTGGAAAGGTTCAGCCTGAACACACTGGAATTGGTATGCAAACTCTGCATACGGCAGGTGGAAGGAGAGGGACAGATATTCCAACTCAATTGTGTGGTGTCTGAGGTGAGCCATCTCTCCACTCTCATTTTTCTCACAACTGGGTGAATCCAGGGGTGGAATGAAAAATGTTAGCAACCAGTTCTCTGCCCAGTTGCTGGGTAGGTGTGGCCATGGTGGACGTGCCCTATTCAGCCTCTTGCACCTCCCCAGGCTCCAGAGGATTTTTTCAAGCTTCCAGGAGGGTAAAAACAGCCACTCCGGGGCTCCGGAGGCTCTCCAGAAGACAAAACAGGCCTGTTTCTGGTCTTCTGGAATTTCCACGAGGCCCATTTTTCGCTCTCCCAGAGCCCTGCACTTACCGGGCATCCAAACCGGGCTGCATGGAGACTCCTAAAAGGGGCTGAATGGGCGGGGCCAGTCAGTCCTTGCAAATACCAGTTCAGTGCACCAGATGTAAAATTAACATCAGGTTCGCCTGAACTGATCTAAACCAGCTGAATCCCACTCCTAGGTGAATCCTCAAAGGAAGATAGTCATTGTCTACAAATCAAAGAAATAGCACAGAAGCTGAGAGTATGCAAACGTTCTTGATCTGACCCACTAGGATTGACATGTGTTATTGTTTCATTGAAGTTAATGAAATAAAACCATCAAGCAACATGACAGAAGGATGACTTTGTCTGGAAATGCTTTTATGTAATGAACACATAAGAAAAGGAAAGATAATATTGGCAAGAGAGAAATGAGGGCTTATGAAGGGCCTAGTTTTCAGCACAACTGAGATGTTAAGTTTAGATATTCCGTTGGCATTTCTGATATGCAGCAATTTCTGCTAGTTGCAGCCTCTCCTATATCAAGATGTCCTTGGTCACTATTATCCGTACTAGGAAATACATTCAGATTTGCTACTATTTACCACTATTGCAATTCAGATTTGGCTTATGGAGGTGTGACTGCACCAGAGGTGGTATTCAACAGGTTCTGACCAGTTCTGGAAAACCACTAGTGGAAATTTTGAGTAGTTTGGAGAACCAGTAAATACCACCCCTGACTGGCCCTGCCAGTCTCTGCCTCCCAAATCCTGATCAAGCGGAAATGGGGATTTTACAGTATTCTTCTCCTGCTATGCCCAACAAGCCATGCTACATTCAGTAAGCCACCCCCACAGAACTGGCATTAAAAAATTTGAATCCCACCACTGGACAGCCCACTAGCATAATTAATAAAACTATCATAGTGTTAAGTTGACTATGGGCAATCCAATTGGTTTTGCGAATTTTAATTCAGACTCAAACCTGAGCAGCGGAACGGGTCTTTTGGCTGCCTAGGAACATAAATGGGATAAAAACAGGACGACCCTCATTAAAATGTAATTTTATTTTGAAAGTGTTTTAAACCCTGCCATCGTTGCTATACAATCGGGGACAAAAAAGCGATTAGGCTGAAACCTTTCCTCCTCGTTTCTATCTCCCAGAATGAAGTGCTAGCCTTGAAAACCACTTCCTTGGCCTTCCTTCTGCTTCCTGCAGTGGCAGAATTGGTGCTCTCTTTCTGACTTTTGCCAGCCTTTTCAGTTAAAAACAACTCCAATGAAAGACCTCACTGACATTAATAAGGAATGATCCTGGCATCTCAGCACCATAGCAACCAGCCATCAGTTTTGTTCTGCTGGCCATATCTCTGAGCCACACAGCTCCACCCCTGCTGGCTTTGGATGGTGTTTTTATTTCTGAGCCCAGCAGGTCTGTGTCATTCAATAACTGCACAACTCCAGCAACAACTGGAGCAACAGAAATTCAGGATAGGCTAAGACCCAGCGGTCCTTCTGATAAATGCTCCCTCTGACTGCAAGTGCTGGTGGATAAAGAAAAAAGTGGATCAGACAGAGAAAACAAATGAAAAGATTAAGAAAATCCCCCTTTTGTGTGCATTTTTCTCCTCAAAGGGGACAGTGGCATCAGTGTAAAGACTTTATGCGAGATTTAGTAAGGTTTATTTCATAATTCTGTTACAGTGTAAGTTTCCATATGCAGCGGCGGCTGGGAAAAATGCTGATAAGAGTTGTGTAGCAGCAGATGACACCGTATCTAAAAATTATGATAGTGCAAAATATTGACTGGAAGGAAAACGAGGAATATGGAAGTGCCTTTTTTCTTCCTTGTCATCAAGGAGCAGTAGAGACATGCATGTCTTTCTCACACGTGTGTGAAACCACCCTGAATGACATACATAGTATATACCAGAGATGGTATTCTGTAGGTTCTGACATGTTCTGGAGAACCGGTAGTGGAAATTTTGACTGGTTCAGAGAACCGGTAAATACCACCTCTGACTGGGCCTGCCCTCATCTATTCTCTGCCTCCCGAGTCCCAGCTAATTGGGTGGGAATGGAGATTTTACAGTATCCTTCCCCTGCCACGCCCACCAAGTCACACACACACATCAAGTCATGCCACGCCCACAGAACCGGTAGTAAAAACACTTGAATCCTACCACTGGTTTATACATAGTGGTGTGTCTGCTTTTGAAAGTATGTATTTCATTGTATGAGTGAAACAAATGTGCTTGCCAATCCTTACACTGAAAACTGTAGTGACGATAGTGGATTTTAGAAAGAGATTTTTTCCTCTACCACCGCTTAACAATATTAAAGAACACAGTATCAATAGGAGAGACATTCTATTTTTTGGGTTCTATAATCTCCCAGGATTTGAAACTGGCACCTAACATTTAGAACCATCATTAAAAAGGCACAACAAAGAATGTTCTTCCTGCGTCAACTCAGAAAGCTCAGACTGCCCCAGGAGATGTTGATACAGTTCTACAGAGGAATTATTGAGTCTGTCATTTGTACTTCTCTAACTGTCTGGTTTGGTGCAACAACCAAACAGGACACATACAGACCTCAATGGATAGTTAGGACTGCCAGAAAAAATAACTGCAACCAGCTTGCCTTCCATTGAGGACCTGTATACTGCCCCAGTCAGAATGAGAGCTGAGAAAATATCTACAAATCCCTCACATCCTGGACATGAACTGTTTTAAGTCCTTCCCTCTGGATGCCGCTATTGGGCGTTGCATGTCAAAATGACTAGACACAGAGACAGTTTTTCCCCCTTGAGCCATCACTCTGCTGAACACTTAATTAGCAAAGTACTGTCCTGTGTCTAAGGATATTTACCCATGTAGTATGTCTGAATTACTATTATCCTTCTTATCTTTTCCACTATTTTCTCCTTTTGGTATCTTATGATTATATCACTTTGTTGCTTGTATGTACACTGAGAGCTTCTGCACCAAAGACAAATTCTTTGTGTGACCAATCATACTTAGCCAATAAAGTATTCGATTCGATTCAATTCGATCGTATCCTATCCTATCTATCCCATCCCATCATAAATCACATACCTTTTGGTCATCTGTAATTATCTCTCTGTCAAGTGGACTTTTGGTGAAAACCGTAATAATGAGCCACCATTCTCCAACTCATTTCTTTATTATCCCATGGATTTTACAGATTTATACCCCTAGTTATATCTTTTAAATCCATTTTCTGGTACAGTGACCAATGACCTTAATGTGCATATTTATTGTAAATGTATTAAAATTGTAATCAGTGAATATAATTCTTGAAACGTATAACCTTAAAATCAGTGTAACTGAAACCAATCCTCAAGCTAGAAAAGTCTAAGAAGTTAAAAGTTATTATGAAATATTTTAAAGCAATGACTAATCAAATCTGATCATATAGTCATTTCAAAATACACAACAGTATTGTGTACAGATTAGAACACTTATGAAAAAGGGGCATCTAATTATTAACCACAATGAGAACTAATTCTTCAGAAGGCCTTGTTAGATGATATTAAGCTTAAAATATGGCATGCTCAGATCACAAAGTCAGGTTAATTTTCATCTGATCATCTACCCTAAAAATTAAAAGAAATACATGAAATGGCTCAACTTTTTTTTTTTTTTTTGCCTTTCAGAACAATTTCTGTTTATTTGTTTATTTTTTTCTTAATCACCCTGAAAAAGCTATTATATATAAGTACATTAGACTAGCAGACTGGTTATATATTATGGGGCATACAAAGTTGCACCATTTTCTTCTTTATTATAATTGTATTGCGGTGTTTGAAAAGGAGAAAAAGCAACTATTTGCTTCACTCCACCAGAACATACACTGGGGGCACAAAGGGAGTGTCAGGATCTGAAGATTAAGTTTCCAGTTGGGGAAGCACAAACTTTACAATTCCTTTCAGTTGCTGCTTCCAACCACTATGGCAGACTCATTTTCACATCAGAAAATCCATATTACATTATATAGTTGTCTTGTTGATAAAGTTCACCTTTCAAAAAGCAGTAACTGATTTTTGCACCAATGCTGTCATTGTATTATATTATTGAGATTGTCCTTTCCTATTGCTACAGTGTCACTTCCACATGAAGCATTTGGGCACTCAAATGCAATGCTGAAGGCAAATAAGCATCAATGTTTTGTTATTTTTTGTTGAATGAAGGATCAATATTTAAAAATACTTGAAGAATAATTTGAAGAATGAATGAATAAATTTTAAAAAACCATTTCAAATTATATTTTGAAATGTTTTACCAGTTCTCATGTTTTTTTCTGTTTTTGATTAAAATCAGAGCATAATAAATTCTGTATACTCTCCTCTTACATTTCTACATGAAACAAGGATTTTGTCTAAATTATGGCATGTCCACAGTGATGACACGCAGAAAACTTCACTCTTATCTCCTTGCCTCTCCCCCATCTGACACAAGTATGCAAGTCATAGTTGTGTCATGAACTCCCGAGGCCCTGTTTCTCTGAAAATAAGACCTCCCCAGATAATAAGCCCAATCGGGCTTTTGCGCGCATGCACTAAGATAAGCCCTCCCCTGAAAATATTGCAACACAACAGCAGCCATGATGTGACCACACTCACCGTCTCCTGCACCTCAAAAATAATAAGACCTCCCCAAAAATCAGGTCAAGCACTTATAAGGGGTCAAAAGAAACACAGTATATTTCATCATTTTCTTCCTCCATGGCT